TGTTCTGCATTGACTCAGCCCCGGCTCCGTCATGGTCATGTCGCCAGGAGCTGCCCTCGTGAGCTCCGCTGTGTAAACGGGGGAGACTTTCCCTTCTCGTTCCCAAAAGACAGGTCCCGTCCCCAGCCGCGGGAGGGTGGTAGCAGGGGCAGGGGCAGGGGCAGGGGCAGAGCAGCAGTTAGGGGCCCAGGAAAGACAGGCCTGGAGCCCTCTCGCTTCCTCCCTGCGACCGCGCTGTTCTGAGTTCACGAAGCCGCGGAGACGCTCTCTGCTCCTGCTGATCGCCGGTCTTCCCGCGGGCACGCCCTCCGTGCTCTGTGGTCTCGCATCTGTGGTCACACATCTGTGGTCACGCACGCTGGGCCTTGGAGGAAGGCGTGAAACCAATTTCCTTCCAGCCGCCCACTGGGCCTGGCATTGCCTCGGTGGCTTTTGGGGCGCCGCCCTGGCGAACCCCCGCTCAGTTCATTGCATCCAGGTGCTATTGTCAAGATGTGATTGACCGAGCAGGCCGCCCGTCACTGCTGATCGCCGGAAGGTCTGTGTTGGGCTGCACCCCCAGGCCTGCTGCTTACCCAGGAAATTTGGGGAGTCCCAGAAGACGGGTCCCTTTGTGAAACTTCGGGAGGCCTTGCAGCTCGGATCCCATGGGGAGCTGGTGTCTGCGTTTCTACTTTCAGGGCACCGTCGTCCTTGTCGTGCTCGGGGCGGCGTTCAGGGTCAGACAGGCGGCGCCCCTTCCTGTCGGCTCCCCAGGACCAGGGGGGCTGTCCCGTCTGGGCCCTGTGCTGCCCCGGCGGGTGTGCGACTCCATGTCCCTCCTCGGGGCGCCGACCACCAACCGAGGCCATTAATCTTCTCAGCGAGAGACGTGGTCACAGTCCGAGCCTGGGCTCTCGGGGGCCTGTGGGATCCCAGGTGCCCGCTCTGATCAGCCGTGGCTTCCCCTCACCTCCCTCCAGTCCCCCCGCGGATGAGGCCGTTACGGGGTCCATGGCATCGGCAGCTTCGCCTTCAGGGCCAGCCGTGCAGGGTGTGTGCGTTTCGGGGTGACTGCAGACGCCTCGGAGGAGCTGGCAGGGAAGTGGGGGCGCTCTTCATAGGAGACCTGCCCGCCAGGCCCTCAGGCTCAGGGTGTCCTCGGAGGGACTCGTGGAGCCCAGGGGCGTGAGGGTGGGCCCAGCCCTGGCTGTGTGGTCCAGCCCCGGGGCTGT